CTCACCCCGTCGCAGGGATAAGAACCGCCGACCTTCTGATCGGCAAGTCCTAGGCTCTGTGGTATAACCCACAGCGCCACCCACGTCCCCTGTATGTACATACATATGCACATATAGACATAGAAAGATATGGCCCACTGTCTCAGACTGTGATCTGATCAGCCAATCATTTCCAAGGGCAATATTATTGGGGCACACCAATACCACACAGCATACCTCATCCCTTAGTTATGGAAGTCCCTCATGCAGCAGAGGAACAGAAATGACAAGATATACAACATATATGTTTATCTAACTCTGCATTGAACCCAAGCAGGTGGTCTGTTTCTACAACTACTCCAGGGAGAATATTTTAAGAATTTTACTCTTCTAGAAAGAATGCTATGCTTCTGAAAAGAGTATTCTGCAGATCAAAAAGTCTCTTTTGAAAAGCAATTTGCACTGACATCAAACTCAACGTGCACTGAGACGGATAAAGAAGATACAAGCTGAGCAGATGAAAAATAAAACATAAACTGCAAAATGTCAGAATGAAAAATACAAATTATGGTACCTTGGGGAAAAGACCATGAAAGAGAGCATAAACAGGACCTACACATACACTCAAGAGTTTACAGTTGCATTGCCTTTTTCTCCAAGAACAAAAATCAGAGAGAAAGCATAAAAAGATAAATATGTGATCCTTTGAAATAAGAGAATGCTAATGCAACCTCAATCAAGGACAGTTTCCCGTATTATTCCTGTATTACAGTGTACTTCAAAAATGTCCTTGGTAATGTCACAGTAACTGCAGATGTTTTGAAGGAATCTAGAGCCCGATTCCGTTGCTTCTCCATGCCCCGTGTAACAATTTGCCTAGTGTAAAAGGTGAACACATCAGACCAAAAATGGAACATTTTCAATCCAAAAAATTTACTCTCAATTTGCTTTCCAGTGCAAATGATTATAAGTATAATAAACTGAAAAAGAATTAAGTTTGAAGTATTTAGAAGATGCAACTGATCTAAAAAACAAGAAAGCATTGTTTGATTAGAGAGATGTGCATGAGCATCAGTGAGAATATATATTGAAATGTCTCCTGAACTTTTAATCCTTTTATCTATACCAGTGATTACGTCTTTTTTTACCAATGATTCTCAACTGAATGCTCAGAGAGGTCCTGGTTGCTCCCAAATCCCAAACCAAAATATATCGACTCGTAACACTCAAAGGCAGAAGGAAGGACTTGTAACTGAGCAATTTATAAAAAGTAAAATCAATAAAAATGTAGGGCTGCATTCACATGTCACATTGAACCATTGTGTGCTCATTGCCCAAAAGTCCTCCTCCTCCACACTAGGAGCAACAAATCACAAGCCTTGGCTTGCTGCGTCATCTGAACATGAGCTCATGGTTTGTTTCTCTCAAAAACAAACCGTGAATGACAGCCAAGGTTGAAAGGTTTGCCACATTTGGATTCAAGTCCCTGCTCAGCCATGAAGCTCACTCAGTCATCTTGAATGAGCCACCAAGGAGTTGGGAATTCTAACAACCACCAAGTGGAATAATAATTGTAAATAATTTTATAGAGCGCACACAAAGAGCTGTACTGATAGTCAATATTATTAATAATAGAAAAACTTACCAAATATTGCCATTTGTGTTCCCTCTGGAAAAGGTTCGACCATGCTGTTTCCATTCACATGGTGTTTACCTAAGAAAGAAGGAAATAGCTACCTGTCAGGTAAGGAAATGTATCATGGGAACAAGCCCCTAAAACATATTTATATCTTCGATACCTCAGCTAGCATGAGTTAATGCTAAATCCTTTATTCACAGCAATTTTGATAAAGGCAATTGTCAAACGGCACTTCTTGTAGAGAAAACTTTTAAAAATTGCATGAAACTAAAAGATTCTGCTTTTCAGTTTTTTGTTTCGTTTTTTTGTTTCATATGTATCATGTATTTGTGGGACGCGGGTGGCGCTGTGGGTTAAACCACAGAGCCTAGGGCTTGCTGATCAGAAGGTCAGCGGTTTGAATCCCTGCGACAGGATGAGCTCCCGTTGCTCAGTCCCTGCTCCTGCCAACCTAGCAGTTCGAAAGCACATCAAAGTGCAAGTAGATAAATAGGTACCGCTCCGGCGGGAAGGTAAACAGCGTTTCCGTGTGCTGCTCTGGTTCGCCAGAAGCGGCTTAGTCATGCTGGCCACATGACCCGGAAGCTGTCGGCAAATAAAGCGAGAGGAGCGCCGCAACCCTAGAGACCCTAGAGTCATTTGCGACTGAACCTATCAGTCAGGGGTCCCTTTACCTTCACCTTTACCATGTATATGTACCTATAAGGTATAGTTTGCCAGGCAACGGCATCCCTGAACACACTTGCTCCATAGCCAGGAAGCCCATCAGCCACGTGGATCACTAATGTGAGCTAAACTCCTGAAAACAGATTATAGACTGGGGTCTGGGTCTGCTCCCCTCAGTATCCTGTCCCTAGGTGTGACAGTATTAGAGGGCCTGTTATATTCTTTATGTAGCTTACTTGGTCACCTTGCCTCTGTAACACGCATAACATTTGAATTGGGGTCCTTAAATCTAGAAGACCTGCTGTAAATAAAAATTGCTGTGTGAATGTGAACAAACATAAAAAACCTCTTGCTTACGGCAAATGGCAATTCCTTATGTCATTTTTTTTTAATGTGCTTCCTGGAGGAAGGGGTGGGGACACCAATGACAGTAGTGGGGTGGGAGAGCTGAAAATAATGTCAATATGTATATTTCACATCTGGCAACCCTTTGGTTTCCGATAGCACATGGGTAGACAAGACTATAAAGCCTGGGACACAAATTTTCACGGCCCTTTAGCAACTAAGATGGCTCATTTACCGGACATACTGCATTTAGTGTTAACTCTGGATGTAAGAAATCAGCCCTGAGTGCTCACTGAAGGACAGATCCTGAAGCTGAGACTCCAAGACTTTGGCCACGTCATTAGAAGAGAAGGCTCCCTGGAAAAGACCCTGATGTTGGGAAAGATGGAGGGCACAAGGAGAAGGGGACGACAGAGGACGAGATGGTGGGACAGTGTTCTCGAAGCTACCAGCATGAGTTTGACCAAACTGCGGGAGGCAGTGGAAGACAGGAGTGCCTGGCGTGCTCTGGTCCATGGGGTCACGAAGAGTCGGACACGACTAAACAACTAAACAACAACAACTGGATGTGTATACTTGATTCTGACCAAATTAAATCTCCTGGTGTATATTTTGCTCTAGGAGGCATAGTTTGGTCAGAATCAAGTCTACACTTCCAAAGTTAACGCCCAGCAGGCATTTGGCGTTAATTTTATCCATGCCTGTTCTCTCATGAAGACGTTCTGTGGTGGGCATTACCTTCAAGGCCACAGGAAGGTAACACCTTGGGGTTGGTTGTCATGGCCTAAAAGTCCACCCCCAGCTCTTTATTTTCATGAGAGCTCAATAATTTTAGCTTGAACTGTTAATGTCTCCACCACATATAATCAATAATGGTTACTTTGTTAGATACTTGTTATTTATAGCTAATAGGCTTTTAAAATACTTGCTTTCAATTATGCCTGTGTGAAAAGAAATTCACTTCTGTATTTTATTTCAATACCAATTTATTGTGCTGTTGTTACACTGGGGTCTAAAGAAAATATAGAGCTCCATTAATTTTCTTAAACAACCTCCCATTTTGTCAGAGATCTAAAAAACCTTTACAGCAATATCCACAACGGTGCCCAGATATTTTAACGTCAAGTTCCATTGGCTTTGATGAGACCACACCAACGCAATTAGCATGTAATCCTGTGGGAACTTTTGCAAAAAAAACAAAAAACTGACCAGCAATGGTCATGAGGCAAAGCCAAGCAGGTTCCAATAAAATGAGCATTTTAGGGAAACAGTACATATAAAATTGAAGTATATAATTTAATTTTCATGTGTCAGAACAGGGTGCTGTACTAAGGGACTGTCAGGGAACCGCCATCAGCTCAGAGGCGAGAGGTAGAAGGGCAGTCATGTTATAGGGAACCTCCGAAGATCTTGCAAAGCAGCTCCTCCTCTAGCGAGGAGGAAAGCCCCACCTCCAGAGGAGAGGAGGTGGTGGGAGCAGGGGATGCTAGGGAGAGCCTCAACGCCGAGGCTGAGCAAACCGGAGAGGAGGGAAGTACCCCTTGTTGGGATACGAGTACTATGCAGCTGCGAACAAGCAGCTGGATGTTTACATCACATGATGGAGCTAACTGTGGGACAGGAAGCTCCAGGGATTTCACAGGGATTTGTTCTTTGTGTAATATGAGACCTTCCTGTTGCTTGTGTGAAGGAAGTCTGACACAGTAGCTCGGAGAAGTCTGAGTGAACGGACATGTTTTTGTACAGTTGTACAGTCAGAAATAAACTGTAGATGAAACAGACTTTCTGACTATCTTCTTTCTCCTGCTGGTATGCAAGGAAGAAGGGGGTGTGCACCTTTCACACAGGGAGGTGTCGCCTATCAAGATCCCCCTGGACTGCCAGGATGCCAGCCAGGGAAGATCACCGGTAAACAGGCCCCCGGGAGCCTGGGAGAGGGGCCAGCCTCTCCCGAGGGGGCCAGTTTTCCAACACCCATTCTGCGCAGTAGGTTTCGGCGCAGGGAGGGAGGAGAAGGTTGGGGGTCACGCGACTGTTATGCTGGGGGAGGTACAAGGACCACCCACTCACAGATTCTCCTAGCGACTGAGCCAGACATGAACTTGCGACACTCTTCACTGTAAATAGTCTGCACTAATAAAGCCTGGAAAAGACAGGCTGGAGTCTTGCCTGTTTGCTCTCGAACAACCACACCACCACCTGAATGGACCTTGGTCTGATCCAGCAGAGCTTTTCTTCCATTCTTAAAATCTGCAAAATTAACTGGAGCAGGCTTAAGCTGCTCCATCTGTACACTTGGAAGAAGCAAAAGATCACCCTCCCAAAGGAAGAGCAGGAGAAGTATCTGGGAAGTAGGAAGAAGAAAGAATGAGGGAAAGGCCATACCTCAATGATAGAGCATCTGCTTTTTCTGCAGAAGGTCCCAGGTTCAATCCCCGGAATCCCCAGGAAGGGCTGGGAATATCCCCTCTTTTAAACTGTAGAGAAGCCACAGCAAGTCCATGCAGGCAATACAGTGTTACCTTGGTTCTCAAATGCCTTGGTACTCAAACAACTTAGAACCCAAACACTGCAAACCCAGAAGGACGTGTTCCGGTGTGCAAACTTTTTTTGGAAGCCGAACGTGCTCCGTTTTGAGTGCCACACTTCCGTTTTGATTGTTTCGCTTCCGATTTGAGTGCCACACTTTCGTTTTGAGTGCCACACTTTCGTTTTGAGTGCCACACTTCTATTTTGGAGTGCTATGTTGAGGTCTGTCTGTTTTTACTATTTATTTTGCAGTTTTGTTTTTGCAGCTCTTTTTTCTTTTGTTTTTGTGACTGTGTGGAACCCAGTTCAGCTACTGATTGATTGATTGATTGATTGATTGTGTGACTGCAGTACAATGTTTACTGCTTTCATTTTATGGATCAATGGTCTTGTTAGTAAAATTCAAATTAAATTGCTGTTTTAGGGGTTGTTTTTAAAAGTCTGGAATGGATTAATCCATTTTGCATTACTTTCTATGGGAAAGTGCGCCTTGGTTTTGGAACGCTTTGGTTTTGGAACGGATTAAGTTTGAGAACCAAGATACTGCGATAGATGGACCAATGGTCTCTCTCTCTATAAAGCATCTTACAATGTTCCCAGGATATGGACTGTCTGTTCCATTTATTCCTTGCAAGTTAAAAAGCCCCAAATGTTTCTTTTAAGTTCTAAACTAAAAAGAAAAGCGCTACAGTAGGAAATGAGTAAATTCCTTGTTTCTGAGAGTTGCATGGCTTAAGGGGGAAGGAAGAAGCACTGGCAATCTGAGATGCAGCAATAAATCACAAGTGCCAGGAAAGACAATAGGATTGCAATGGGATAACGCTGGCAGAAATTTCTTTCACCTGATTTCCAGCCCATTCCAGCTCAATGCCTTCTTTGCCTCAGTCTTCTCCGATAAAGAAAACAATGCCCGACCTGAAGAATTTGGAGCAAATGACTCAGCAGAGGAAACACAGCCCAGAATAACTAAGGAGATAGTACAAGAATACTTGGCTAGTTTAGATGTATTCAAGTCTCCAGGGCCAGATGAACTACATCCAAGAGTATTAAAAGAACTGGCAGATGTGATCTCAGAACCACTGGCAGTCATCTTTGAGAATTCCTGGAGAACAGGCGAAGTCCCGGCAGACTGCAGGAGGGCAAATGTTGTCCCTATTTTCAAAAAGGGGAAAAGAGAGGACCCAAATAATTACCGCCCAGTCAGTCTGACATCAATACCAGGGAAGATTCTGGAGCAGATCATTAAGCAAACAGTCTGTGAGCACCTAGAAAGGAATGCTGTGATCACCAATAGTCAGCATGGATTTCTGAAAAATAAGTCATGTCAGACTAACCTGATCTCGTTTTTTGACAGAATTACAAGCCTGGTAGATGAAGGGAACACAGTGGATGTAGCCTACCTTGATTTCAGCAAGGCATTTGACAAGGTGCCCCATGATATTCTTGTAAAGAAGCTGGTAAAATGCGGTCTTGACTATACTACCACTCAGTGGATTTGTAACTGGCTGACTGACCGAACCCAAAGGGTGCTCATCAATGGTTCCTCTTCATCCTGGAGAAGAGTGACTAGTGGGGTGCCACAGGGTTCTGTCTTGGGCCCGGTCTTATTCAACATCTTTATCAATGACTTGGATGATGGACTCAAGGGCATCCTGATCAAATTTGCAGATGACACCAAACTGGGAGGGGTGGCTAACACCCCAGAGGACAGGATGACACTTCAAAACGACCTTGACAGATTAGAGAACTGGGCAAAAACAAACAAGATGAACTTTAACAGGGAGAAATGTAAAGTATTGCACTTGGGCAAAAAAAATGAGAGGCACAAATACAAGATGGGGGACACCTGGCTTGAGAGCAGTACATGTGAAAAGGATCTAGGAGTCTTGGTTGACCACAAACTTGACATGAGCCAACAGTGTGACGCGGCAGCTAAAAAGCCAATGCAATTCTGGGCTGCATCAATAGGAGTATAGCATCTAGATCAAGGGAAGTAATAGTGCCACTGTATTCTGCTCTGGTCAGACCTCACCTGGAGTACTGTGTCCAGTTCTGGGCACCACAGTTCAAGAAGCACACTGACAAACTGGAACGTGTCCAGAGGAGGGCAACCAAAATGGTCAAAGGCCTGGAAACGATGCCTTATGAGGAACGGCTAAGGGAGCTGGGCATGTTTAGCCTGGAGAAGAGGAGGTTAAGGGGTGATATGATAGCCATGTTCAAATATATAAAAGGATGTCACATAGAGGAGGGAGAAAGGTTGTTTTCTGCTGCTCCAGCGAAGCGGACACGGAGCAATGGATCCAAACTACAAGAAAGAAGATTCCACCTAAACATTAGGAAGAACTTCCTGACAGTAAGAGCTGTTCGACAGTGGAATTTGCTGCCAAGGAGTGTGGTGGAGTCTCTTTCTTTGGAGGTCTTTAAGCAGAGGCTTGACAACCATATGTCAGGAGTGCTCTGATGGTGTTTCCTGCTTGGCAGGGGGTTGGACTCGATGGCCCATGTGGTCTCTTCCAACTCTATGATTCTATGATTCTATGATTCCCAGACTTACCCCTTAACTCCCACTCTTTGTAACAACCCTTCACTGCTGTGAATAAGCATCAGGAAATATCTGGAAGCCAGTGGTTTGCATTTCAGACTTGCACACAAGATGCTAACCAGAAAGAGATGGAAATAATGTATTTAATTTCAAAGCGGGTATTTGTTGCCGTGATTTTCTCTTTCAGTATCTTATAAGTGAAATGTCTAATAATGTCAGCAGGTGGGGGGCGGAGAGACAGAGAGAAAGAGAGAGATTGTGTCCATTTGCTAATGCTGCTTTCCACTCAACTGTTCCTCTTCAACAGTAGAAGAGTTCGCTCTCATTGTCACGATTGAAAGAACTTGCTCAACTAGCTTCGCTGGGGGTTTGCATCTTTGATTCTCAAGCAAGCTCTTCGTGCTACACAGCAAACAAAGCTTGGTACTCAAGGGAATTTGAGAAGATTGCAAGAGGGTGGGTGTGGGTGGCTGTTTTCAGTGCTGTTTACTTATTTTCTTTTATAAACTGAGCCTAAATTAGTTGTTTGTCTCCTGGCCCACTTTAAACTTTCTGCAAGGTCAGGCCAGCATATCAGACAAACACAGTGTTTGCCCCAATGCTACACTACCTTCCTGTCTTGACTGCCTTTTAAATCCCACTGCACTCTTTGCTATACACAGTTGTGCAGGATACTGATAGTTCTCATGTTCCAAATGGCAAGCTATTTAATCTTAACTCCTAGTCGACTTCCAGGGTGGTGCCATCGGCAATGGCGGACTCCCTCTGAACCGGAGGGACTAGCTCCGCGGGAAACGGGTCTTCTCCGCTACGGCGAAGCGGGGACCCTTTCAAAAATCACAGGCGGATGAAGCCTGTGACCATGGGACTCGGCGGGCACCTTTAGCACCCCCCCAACTCGCTAAGGAACCCACTAACGGGCTCCGAAGTGAAGAGGGGGAAGTGGCACAGTGCTGTGAGTCAACTGCTATTTCCGTGGAGCGAAGCCGCATAGCCGTTGCCGGAGAGCGCTGCCTTTTTCCTGGGACAATTTGGACTCTAAAATAAGCACCCGTGAGTACTTAGACTTTGAACAACTGGACATTAGATGGGGACTTGCGAGCAGGAAGGAATTGGATCTTAAAAATCTATTTCAATTTGGTACGGAACGGGAAGGTCTAAACATGAAGTCAGCCTTCCGTTCTTCTGTAGACAGAATAAAGCAAAGACAACGTAAACTAGAGCTCAGAAAATCGCTTTTAAAGGATTGGATTTCATCATTTAAAATTTTGGAACCCCCCTTCGACAGCAGGAGAAGAAGGGGGATCTTTTTTGGACTGTTTAAAGTGAGTTTAAAGTAAAGCAACTTTCCTCCGTCCTGATCCTGGAGCGGGGTGTCAGGACTGACGTTTGAAGTTCATTGACCAGAGACAAACGTTTTTGACAGATAGCTAAAAGAAGAGAAACATAGTGATTCCACTGTTTCCCTTCGCATTTCAAAGGAACAAATATTGACAAAGTATCTCAAAAAGGGAAACTTTGTTGCAAGATCAAATAGAAGTTTTCCCCCTAGAGGGAGACTGTGAAACTGTAACCAACTCCAGGGAGCCGGCAGCTGTTTACAGATTACAATCGTGGGGATAGACATTTGACCTTGCAGGACAATGTATTCAGAAGCTTTGTTGTGTGCTTTCTACAAAACAAATGCCCTACTGGAACAGTTACATGAGAAGGTGAATTTGATGACGACTTCGACTAGAAATTTTGAACAGGCAGTGGGAAATTTTGAACAGACAGTGGGAAAATATGTGGCGCCCACCCAGGAATTAAATCAGGAGTGTGTCCTGACAGAACAGGCCCAACAGGAATATGAGTTTTCGGATTTGACAAATGAACTTGGGAAAAGCCAGATTTGGAAAGAAAAAGTTTGGTTTGGCTTGGAAATGGGGGGCTGGATTGACCCCCCTATGCTGGGATGTTTGGACTTTTCAAATCTGGCAATGGGCCGTGAGATGTTTGGGATTGTGGGGGCTCTTAATTTTGGAGGGTCTTTGAAACATGCTTTTAAATACCATATGGAATTCAGTGCTGAATATGGAAAAGGGGCTGATCTGTCGAGAAGGGTTAAAAATATTGCCAAGCTGGAGTTACCACGAGCAGGAGACAAGGGAAAATACAGTTACAAATATGAAGAAGAGCTGGGAAAGGGACATGGAAGAGACTTGAGGGCCTCGGATATAAGGTTGCCAGGTTAATGGGCCAGATCGATGGGATAATAAGGACTGACAAAACCCGGAACCAGGAGGAAGGGACGTTGGATGAAGATTGGATCTGTTTGTATTTCTTTTTTTACCATTAGAACTGTTTTATAAAATTGATGAATGTCAGAAAAAT